TTGCACCTAGCTTTAAAAACAGAGCCTGTGACCCCAGGGCAGGGCAGAGCCTGAGGGAATCACAAAGAGGTCCACCTTGGAATGGTGATGACATGGGGGGAAACAGAGTACTGAGGGATCCTAGTGGACTGGCCAAGTCCATATCATGCTTTGGTGGAGAGAACAAATCTAATCTAAAAGGCTTCAGAGTGAATACTTCAGAGTTGTTCCTGTTCTGTCCCGGGTCATTTTTGTTACAGTTCAGGCCAATTCATAAAGCAGTAGTGCTGTGTGTCATCTGTCCCTTCATTTTTTGTAGCACTTTAAGGCATATTACATCTGTCCACACTCCTTAAGTAGTGAGAGAAGCTCCTCACACCATTTTCATAGATTTGTAGATTCATAGACATTAGGGCTGGAAGGGACCTGATGAGTTCATCAGGTCCAGCCCCCTGCCCAAGGGGCAAGAAGTCAGCTAGGGTCAAAGGATCCCAGCAAGATAAGCATCCAAATATTTATTAAAAGTATCCAGAGTAGGTGCTTGCACCACCTCTGGGGGAAGTCTATTCTGGGCCTTGGGGGCACGGACAATAAAAAAGTTTTTCCTTATGTTCAGCCTAAAATGGTCTTGCAGGAGTTCATGACCGTTGGACCTTGTCATCCCTTGGGGTGTTCTGGTGAACAGATGTTCCCCCAGATCCTGATGCACACCCCTTATGTACTTATAGGCTGCCACCAAGTCACTCCTGAGCCCATGCTTCTCTAGGCTGAAGAGTCCTATGGCTCGCAGCCTCTTTTCATAAGGTCAGTTCTCTTGCCCTCTGATCATGCGCGTGGCTATCTTCTGGACTCTTTCAAGCTTCTCCACATCCTTCCTGAATTGTGGAGCCCAGAATTGGATGCAGTACTCCAGCTGCAGTCTCACCAAGGCTGAGTACAGTGGGAGAATGACATCCTGGGTCTTGCTCAAGATGCATCAGTTTCTTTAATTTTGTACTTAATTATTTATTTCATTTTGGGGCGGGCGGGGCAGGGGGAAGGATTACATTTTTTACCCTTTTGAGTTGCAGTGAAAACTTTTAATCAGCCAAATATAAACTAATGCAGTTTGGGGTTTTGGGGGGAATCTGGTGACCACTGGAAAAAACTGCTCTGAGAGGTGTTAACTGCCCAGTCATTTTACTGGGAGGTTAGCAACAAAGCCAGGAAGGACACTTCTAAATGTCAGTCTTCTTAACTATTTCTCTTTTGATTATATTATCTTAAGTTTTCAAGATAATGCATTTCCCTATTGATGTTGGAGGTCAAGCCAGGTATTAGAGCGGGTCTTGGTGATATAACTACTTACTGTGTGATTATGGAGAATGAGGAATTCAACATCCACTGCATCCAAGACTTTAAATCTTCTTCTTAATAGGAGAAGGAAAAGATACATACCTTACCCAGTAGCAAAGCCAGAACCTATGCCTAGTTAGATAAAAGTACAAACCAACTTTTTATGCATTTTTGGGTGCTAGAAGTCCTAACTGGCTCCTGTTCAGCAGTTGAAACTCTCATCTTCCCTGCAACTTCTGGGATGTATACATGGATTCCCAGCACAAAATTGCCTAGCACATTCAAACTGGAAATGCTGACAGTGCACCAGGAGCTGAGTTTAATCTTAAGTAACAAAAAGCAAGGAAACATGGACTGAGGAAGAGTGGCAGGGGAACGGTTCTGAGATTCCTACCTCACAAGTCAAGGGTCTGCTGTATAACTAAAGCCTAACATGGCATAAAAGACAATGGGACATAGTTAGCCATGTTAGTGTGAAGTCAAGTAGAAGGCAGAGTAGATTTTTCTCTTTATAGACTGACCAAAGCATATATATCGCACAGACTTTCATGATCAGTAACTCATTTCAACCTCCAGAAGCTTGTGAGAGATTGTGTGTGCGCGTGTACACACACACACACACACACACACACACACTTTGGTTAGTCTTTAATGTGCAGATCTACCTGCTTTCTATATAAGACAGTGGGCCAATGAGAGCATTGTCATCCTGCCCCACTTACTATTTATTATATCTAGTTATATCAGAAATTTTGACAAAAAATAACCCTTTCCAGGAGAAATCTGCTCCCTTCTTTCTCAACTCACCAGTTCCTGTGTCAGTTTAATACTAATTAGCATATTGCTGGAGTTACAGTTTTTTGAGCTGACCTGCTAAGCAACATATAGATGACAACTCAGAGTGACAAAGTTCAGGCCATTCTGGGCTGATTGTACATTTCCTGTCACATTGGACTGAATAGGAGGTACTAATAGTAGGCTGTTGGCTTCTTTTTGAAGAAAGGAAAATGACTATTCTGTGAATAGTAATGTCTAATTTATCAGATTAAATAGCAGAGTAATGGCAGTGAGATCTATACTGTACATGAGACAGACACCCACACATTATCTGTTTGTGCAATGCCAATTTTATTATTTGAAACTAGCCACTTTTATCAATGCTGGAGGGAATACTGAAGTACCTTAGACTGCCAAGAGTGCAGTTTGTAGATCAATTAGCAGCTTTTCAGGCATCCAGGTTCAATCAGTTGTTCTGCAGTGCATACATAATAAGATAGTGGTGATAAACAAAGTTAATGCTTCTCCCTAACATTTTAATATAAATCACAGGAACTCATCATAGCATACTGCATAACTAACCTGTCATATACTGTGATGTCAGCTGATGTGTCAACTGTCTGTAAACGGTGTTACAGCACTGAAAGCAAGTTAAAGTATCAGAGGGCTCCATGAACCAACATTTACAACCTGGCTAGTTCTATATGAAATTTGCCACTACCGGTATATTTTATATGCACAACATTTGAGGAGCTGGTCTGATCCAGGGACAGCAGTAGCAAATGAGTCCCACTCTGCCCCCTGATCTGTTTCCCCTTGGGTGTTCTGTGCCTGCCCAGGAGCAGGCTAAGGGTGGGGAAACCCACCCAACTGCTGCCACTACCATTGCCTCTGGCTGAGCCTGACTCCCTGCACAGTCCTGCTGGGGTGCAGCAGGATTGGCTCTGGAGTTCCCCTAACTCCAAGGTCAGCTAGGGGTAGTGGCAGCAGTGGAAGAAATAGGAAATGGCAGGGGAGGGGATGGCATGTGCTGCTGAGCACTAAAAGTAAAGGGCAGGTCTCCCTGAAGTAATTCTCCAGTTAACTTTCTACTGCATTCTCATCAGGTTTTTAGCATAATCTTCACCTTAAAGCCTTGTGATAGTCCTTGTTTTCTCAGTTTCCCATGTGTTTTTTCACTGTTAGTTCAGCTGGTTCAGCCACAGCATTCAGATCTGTCTCACTTTCCTAGGATGCAAGTTGCATAAGCTTTGATCAGTTGCCCAAGTTGCCTAAGCTGTCAGCATAGGTCTAGCAGGTCATAGCAGGATCATTGAGTTTCATGCAGTACTCCAGAGAATGGCAAACAGTGGGTAATCATTTAACCATTCACATCCCTACCTTGGATCTCTTAAGAGTATTTTAAAAACTACTTCCAGTCTTTGCAGTGGGAGGACATTGACAGTGCTTTTGTCCCCTGCTTTGCTAATGTACAGTAGTGGGGGTGGGTATTTTTGAGGTTTCAAACATTATACCTGGTACTCATGAATGAGGGCTATTCACAAAGTTTTTAAAAACAGATTAGGTAACACTCATCTAGGATAGTTTAGACAGGGATGATCCTGCCTTAAGCCAGGGGTTGGACTGGATGACCTCCTGAGGTCTCTTCAAGCCCTACTTTTTTATGATTTGGTTGTAATTGTAGCTTCTGGAAAGCATGAAAGAAATTAAGTATGGAAAGTCTTTTTGATAGAAAAAAAATTATATAGAACTTCATATCAAGATCAATACATGTGATATTGGATACTGTATTGGAATTTGAACAAAACAACTAGATCATGATGATAAGTTGGGCAAACACAGACTTCTTAAGGTGACAAATATAGGTTATAAATAAACTTGTTAAAATTTGTGTAGAAAACATATAGAACCATATTAAATATGACTGGAAGGGACCTTGAGAATCACCCAGTCTGTCCCTCTTTCTCAAGTGATCAGCTATACCTGAACTAGCCAGATAGAAGCTTGTCTAGCCTGATCTTAAAAACTTCCAGTGATGGAGATTCCACACTACCCTATTCTAATAATAATGCAAACATAAGTTATGAAGAAAATGTTGGATGTGTCATTGATTCCCACATTTTCTAAGTATGTGGAATTTCTAAGTGTTACCTAATCCCATATTATTTCCTAAATTTATGAAGATAGTTATATTGGAGTTAGAACTACATTTATTAGCATGTTTAAATTTGCCTGTACTAGATTTCATTAGCAAATATTTCACAGAAGAACCTTTAAACAAGGAAACTTCACATTTTTAAAGTAATATGAAAGAACGTAGTAGGACTGGGAGGCCATAGTAGGAGTGGGATGGCCCCTTGAGCCATCAAGTCCTCTCCCTTATGTTTTCAGGCAATCATTAATCAAAGGAATCTCCAAAATTATCACTTCACAGCTTCACCCAAAACTACAAGGAACAAACACCAAGAACACCTTATAACATACCATTGGGGGAAGAACAAGGAAGACGAGGGCACTGTCAGTACAGTGGTAGGAAATTGGATAGTTATACTCTCAGAAAAAACACACGGTTTAATTCTGGCCGTGGTTTCTGTATTTTAGAACTTAAGTTACAGTAGATCAATTAAAGCTTGTTTTTAAACCAATTTAACTAAATCAGTGAAAACCTCTATTAAACAGATTTAAAATTCACTTATATCAGTTTATCTTAATTCAGTTACAGCCCAAATTCAGCTGTTCATTTTTACCAAGCTAAGATGTTTCAATGCAGCATGCACCTGTTCCTCCCGTGAGCAGAGCTAAAAATAAAATTATAAAAATCATGTGATGTTGAGCTCTTGTTAAGTCTGTCATATTTCTGTGAAGATCCATGCTTTAGATTTGACATTTACTATTGGTGTTAATTACAGGAAACGAGAAGAAGAAAATAAGAGAAAAGAAGCCAACCTGCAGAAGGGAATGCAGAACCTGCAGTTCAATTGTGTACAGCAGCCGCTTTCAAATAGAGAGAAGAGTTACACTAGTGCACAGCTATTTAGTAAACCAGCTGATGTGCATAATAAAAGACCTTTCTCCTGCAGCATGTCTCAAGACCAAGCAGGGAGAAGCAACAGAGGTTCACCTACAGGTTCTCAAAACAAAGCAACATTGAAGGAGAAATTCCCACCTGCAGAGCTTCTAGGTGAGGATCGTAAATTCAAGAAAGGTTTGTAATTGCTTGATTGGCCAGATTAACTATGCAATGATTTTCAGGGATGGATTTTAACTGGTTCCATCATGGGAGAAAGCATCTTGTGCTGTATTCTTGTTCCTTTATTATGTAAATCACTTATATAGGATATCAATATGTACATTTGGATAAGAATCATATTTTAGCATGCAAGTTCAATCATTTTGCATGGTCATTGTTATAGACATTTATATTGTATGTAAAACTTGGTATCCAAAATATTTCAAAGCAGATTATGGCTTCTGGTGCTTTTTGTTTTGTTAAGTATTCTACTTGGAATCATGATATTTTACCTCCATAGACATGGCCAAATTGTGAAAAGTGAAAGCCCACAGCGCACAGAAGGAGTATGCAGGGAGCTTCCTTCTCTGTGACAACTCCTCCCCCACCTCTAACTTCCCTCAAAGCCATACCTGTGATTTTTCCCCACTCCCTGGATATGATTGTCACCTTAGGAGCTGTAGGGAAGAGCATTGTTTGTATGCCTCTGAGGGCAAGGAATATGTTTTTCCCTTTTCTTTGTG